CGAGCTCTCCGCAGATGGTTCGTGGATGCGCCGTGCGCTGGGGCTTCGTTATCATCCCACCTTGCCTCTTTGCCTCGCTTGCTGCTCGTCTCATCTCAGGCGACCTCTCCCATCTCAATATCGACGCCATGCCTGCCACATTTGTTTCGTTGGTACAGTTGCTTCGCTTCTCTGCCACACTGCATCGGCAGCGTCATCTGAGCAGCGTGGGCTTTGCCATTCAGATCACCCACTTCGTCGCTCACAGTTCGGACGCAGTCAGGATAAAACATTGAAGAGGACCATGCCACGTTTCTCTCGCACAATGCTGACCATATTCAGTTGGCCGCAGATGCCTACACGCCCAGGAACGAGCGGAGACATATCAACAGGCTTCTCGCTCTCGGGGCGCCCCCCCCCCCCCCTCCCCCCCCCCACCCCTGACTACACACCATCCCCTTCATGACCGGTGATGGGGGTCTCCGAACCCACTCAGCGCCCAGACGGCTCGGTCGGTCTGACGATTCTCAGCGCCCATGCGCAAGTGATTCAGAATGTGCAGCTGCGCTCCAGGAAAGTGGAGAGGGGGCATGCCACTTGCATGCCTGATATGTCCCAAACCTACAATCAACTGCCACATCTTCTTGGAAGTATTGAACGGCGCTTGCTTGCGCATGTGCCCGCCCCCCTTGACTCGCAGCATCTCATGCGCGCCTTCAGGAAAGGCAAGGCTCCAGGCATTGACGGAATACCCAGCAGCGCATTCAAGATTGCCCCCATCCTGTTGTCTATGACCCTGGGCCCCCTACTGGCGAAAATCACTCTTGGAGGCAGAGAACCCTTCATTTTCAAGTTGGGTGAAGTTGTCTATTTCTATATGGGCTCTGGGGGCCCTGCCATTGCAACAAACCATCGTAACATCCTTCTGGCCAGTACCCTATGCAAACTACATCACAAACACTTACGTTCTCTGGCGCATGACTTTTCTGCGCCCGCTCTCCTACATGAAAAATGCGGTGGTTCGGTGGGAGGAACGTTGACTTGATCACATGATCAGTGCGCACATTCCTCCGACATTGCATTAAATAGTCGCACATCGGGGATAGTCATTTGCCCCGACCTTGCGCAAGCCTTTTACTTTACTATAAAACAACTGGCGCAGCAATTGCCAGGCGACGAGATTCGTCTCTCTGAGGCCCTTGGTCAGCTCTCCTCGCCCCCTGTTCTGCACCAGGGGGTTAGGGCGCAACTGGGTCGGCAACCCCTTCTGGATAGACATTTTCCAAGGGATGAACTCCTGGCCCCCATTCAAGACACCCAGAGGGGCACTTATTGGAAAGTTCGGGAGGCAGAAGACTTTGTTGCTCCGTCTCTAGGAACACGCCCATGCACTGCAGCAGCAACGGACATTTTCAACTCCGTTTTTCGACAGGTTCACATGGATATACGACAAGGCATACAGGGCTCGGGACGATCCTGGCAGGAAGCTCATGACGCTCCGCCGCCTAAGTTCGCCACGGAAAGGGACTGGGACACCGCCTACACCGATCTTTCTTTTGTCGATGATCTCACGGTGCTCTTCCCGCTCGAGAATCCAGGAGATGTGCTGTCCACCTCCCTTGCCCTCGCCGAGAATGCATACTGCGCCGCCGCCTCGGCTGGTTTCTCGATACATGGCGCCAGAACCAAGTTACTGGTTTCCCTTAGCGGCAAAGGCTACCGCATTGCGCTGCGCAGCCTGCCAGACAAGGCCATAACGGAGATAACCTCTGAGCGATGGGGATTGTCCTCTCCTACCACCCTCGTGCGCAAAATTCTCGGCAGCCAAGTCGCGGCTGATGGCTCCATGGGACCTGGTGCCCAAGTTCGCACCCCCAAAACCTACCGAGCCCTGCGTCCCATTCGGCATACTGTGGCCCCCCGTAGTCAACTCCCACTGGCCAAAAAAGTCACGTTGGCTGAGGCCCTAGCTTCTTCTGTTCTCTTTTTTGGCGCCCCGGTTTGGACTCGTCTCACTGCAGCACAGTTCAAGAAAATTCAGACAGCCCATCTAGCGGTTTATCGAGTGGCTGCGGGACTGTCAGCCACCAACAATGCGGATAATCATCTCATTAATGCCCAAGTGCTGTTGGACGCTAACCGCCTCCCGACAAAAGTCGTTCTCACAGTGGGGCGTTTGCGTCTTCTGGCCAGGATTCTGCGGCAAGCCCCACCCGTACTCAGGGCGCTACTGGACCTGAATTGGGATGACCCCTTGGGATGGCCCTCGCTGATCCGCGCTGACATTGGGTGGCTCCACTTTTTTGTTCCTGAGTGCCCTGGGCCAGACGATGGAGATGAAACCTGGCTTTCACTAGTTCGGGCCAACAACATTCAGTACAAAGGTATGATACACAGTGCAATTGTCAAGGCCAAGAGATATTATAGTGATCGGGCCCACCTAGAGGTCTGGCGACACAGACTCCACCAGATCGGACTGGGCACATCGCTATCATCTGACTCTTCCCCATATTGCCTCTTCCTTTGCCTGCTACGAATGTGGCCATGTTGCATGCAGTACTCAGCAACTTCACTCACATGTTGGTAAGGTGCACAAGTCGTCTCTATCGCCCAGCAACATTGCGACGGGCACGCTGTGTCAAGTGTGCTTGCGCGATTTCCGACATGTAACACGATTGGTTAAGCATCTTTCGAATGCTCCAGCTTGCAAGATCGCTTGGCACGCATCGGGTCGACTTCCCCCCCCCCCAGAAGAATTAGCACAGGCGCGTCTTGAAGCCAAGCAAGAAGCTGCTTTAAACAGGAAGCAAGGACGTTATGATAGCTATGCTGCGCTCCCTTGGCTGCAAGGCCAGGGGCCGCCGATCGCCCCGCGTGTACCGATCTCTAGGCTTCAACAAGTCCTGCCCCCACCCGTGGCCCCTCCTCCAGGCGTTGATCCTGGGGCGTGCCTGCCCCTGAGGCTCCCTGTTCGACCCCTCAAAGTTGTTTTGCATCTCTTCGGAGGACATCGTCGTCAGGGGGATCTTCAGGACCATTTTGAACAACTACAAGCCCTCTTTCCCACTAGGTGTGCCGTGCTGAGCGTTAACGTCGATAACACCTCGCCGCTGGCTAATATGGCAGAGGATTCCTCTAGGGACATATGGCTTGATCTCCTGAGATCAGGCCGGGTGGCGGGCATCATTGCACCCCCCCCATGAGACGTGGACCACAGCAAGTAAGCAACATTCGCCACGTGACAGGAAAGACCCTCGCCCCCTGCGTGATGCCAACAACCTGTGGGGGATGGGAGCACGAACCATATTCGAGAGTGAACAGGTTCACCATGATAACAGGCGGCTTCGCATATCTCTCTTGCTGCTCTACAAGGCCTATAAGCTTCGTGTCCCAGCTATTATTGCGCATCCAGCTCATGCGGACTCTGTGGAGAAGTCACCTAGCATCTGGTCGCTGCCAGAGGTCAGGACTCTCGAAAAAATGACTGGGGTTCCAAGCACACCCTTCATCTTTGCAGGTTCGGAGATTGCTCCCGCAAGCCCACGGTTCTCTTGGGAGTTCGGGTGACGGCCTTAGACGCTAGGCTGCGAGACATCCAGGGGGGGCCCTTTGCAACCATGCTAGACATCACGCAGCGCGCTCGGCACACAATGCAGGAGAACGGTCTTGTGAGGCTGCCACCTGCATATTGCCATCCCAATTATGCAAGATGATGGCTGCAGCCCTCCTGCAACAGATCCGTGAAGCCTTTCCCGAGGCGCACCAAGAGCTGCGACAAGGAGCCCCGTGGGGATCAGCCCCAGGCACCATCCTTGATACTCGGCCGCTATCTTGGGACCTCCGTAGGGAGGCTGGGCTCCGTAGGCGGCTGGACCTCCGTTTAGTCGATGATGATTTGGATCTCCCGATTGGTCTCCGTGGGTTCTATGCTCCCCTTGACCCCTATACTGAGCGCCACTCTGTCACCGACTCCATCATTTATCCTCGCAGGCGACCACCAACCACCAACCTGTGGGCACTGTGACGTCAAGGACCCAGGGCTAACAATCTCTCTCCTTCGCTGGACTGTAGCTCAGCTTTGGGAAGGGCCCGCACGTGAAGGTTTGCCCCCGCCTAGCTGGCTGGCGCTCGTGTACCACTCACGTAAAAAAGTAGTAACGTGTGGGTGCTGCACTTCGGAGTGCAGCGCGCCGCTGGCAGTACCATCGCCACCTGTGTGAAGGCTCTGCTTTTCTGAATTGTCTTGCCCGTCCTTGTTCTATTCTCGCGCGCCCGTGGCAGTAACACAGGTGGCACCACCTTGTGACACAACATCTCACCTCTTCACAAGATATGCTCTCTCATCCAGCTCCACGTTTGCACTCTCATCCTGTTCTGTGTAGGCTTCTAACCGTCCGCCTCATCGATGAATGAATGAATGAATGAGGAGAAGGAGGAGGAGGAGGAGGAAGAGGAGGAGGAGGAGGAGGAGGAGCAGGAGGAGCAGGAGGAGGGGAGGAGGGAGGAGGGGAGGGGGAGGGGGGAGGGGGAGGAGGGAGAGGAGGAGGAGGAGGAGGAGGAGGAAGGAGGAGGAGGAGGAGGAGGAGGAGGAGGAGGAGGAGGAGGAGGAGGAGGAGGAGAGGGAGGAGGAGGAGGAGGAGAGGAGAGGAGGAGGAAGGAGGCGGTACCAGATTGCTGTGCACTTCGCAAAAGAGGAGGGGAGGGAGGGCAGAGAGGAAGAGGAGGTCACCTCCCAGGCTGCAAGGGAACGGACACGCAATTTCCTCCTCCTCCTCCTCCTCCCTCTTCTTCTTCTTTCTTCTCCTCCTCCCCCTTCTCCTTCTCCTTCTCCTCCTCCTCCTCCTCCTCCTCCTCCTCCTCCTTCCTCCTCCTCCTCATCAACATCATCATCATCATCATCATCAATCATCATCATCATCACACTCCCTCTCCTCTTCCTCTCCTCCTCCCTCCTCCTCCTCACTCCTCCTCCCTCCTCCTCCTCCTCCTCCTCCTCCTCCTCCTCCTCCTCCTCCTCTGCCTCCCCCACCAGATTCCGCACTCTTTGCCACCTCCCAGGCTGCAAGGGACCGGACACGCAGTTCTAGGGATCGGGGTTCGATGTCCAAAAGTCTGTGATCAGCGCACGGAGCACCAGGTACACTGGGAGCCGGAGCCGCCAGAGCAGAACCTCCATCGTGCCTGGCTCGCGAGAGCCGTACAGCTCCTCAACCTGCTCCTCCGAGAGGTCCAGCATAGACCTCGCCAGCCACGACCTGGGGCCGTCCAGCAGCATCGACGGGACGCCGATGATGGCCGTGGAGACCGCCAGGCCCACGTGATGGTCCAGCAGCCTCAGGGCCACCCGCCGAGGCCACTCCAGCTGCAGGGCCGCCGCCGCGCGCAGCATGGCCCTCCGCAGGCCTATGAAGGCGACCGCCTGCAGGGGACGCTGCCAGAGGATGGTCATCGTGAAAAACATCCCCGCCGACATGGCCTTGCGATGCAGCTCGACCGAGTCCGCGCTCGTCCGCCTGCGGATCACGAGCAGGCCCCTCCAGAAGAAGTCCGCCGCGTCGCGCCCCTCCGCGACTCGTGCGCGCTCCCCGTGCGTTGAGCCGACTGCTCCCTTGCTGGGCCCCTTGCCCCACGAGCAGTGCCTGCCCTGTGGGGGGTCCACTGCTTGCGCCTCGGAGGAGCGGGCGTCCCGAGAACGCGCCGCGCCCCCGGCGTGTTGCCGCCCCGTTGCCGCCTGGGGGGGTGTCCTGGGGCCCACACCGGCGAACATTACGTCGGGCGTGTCCCCCTACAATCAGGGGGACGTAAGACCTGGGTACAGGGGACTCGGAAATCCCCGACGAGGTCGTCAAAAAATGACGAGGACGAGCCTGCATTTTGACGAGGCCTCCCGCTGCAAACATCCCACGAAACTCCTCCTCGTCAAAATCCGAGGCGCGGTCGTCAAAAAACGATGGCGAACCCGAGTCCTGGCAAACCCGGGTCTTACGCTCCCCCGATACAAGGGGATTTTCGACGAAAAATTCGCCAGCCCAACGGGCCAGAGGCGTGCTAAGATCTCCGGTAACTGCTAAGTAATACTTCTACTTCGCGCGCGCGGGGCGGCCCCTGGGGGTCCCCGGACGAAAAGTACCCCGGGCGATCCCCGGCAGGGTCGGGTCAGAGATGGTTTTCCTCCTGGGCGCCGCCCCCGTGGCCCCCCAGAGAGCCCCGAGAATGGCCACGAGGCCGCCAAGAGCCCTCCAAGATGGTTCAAGAGTGTTCCGAGATGCCACTCGATCGTTCCAAGACGCCCAAGATGGCCCCCAGACGCCCCAAGAGGCCTCCAAGAGCACTCCCCAGAGGGCCCCAAGAGGCAAAATTCATTACTTTTCCTTAGGTTTTGGGCAGATTTTGGCGTGTCCATCTTTTCGGCTTCCCGACGCCCCAAGACGGCCCAAGAGGCCCCCAAGATCGCCCCAAGAGGGCCCAAGAAGCTCCCAAGAAGGCCCCAAGATGGCCCAAGAGGGCTCCAAGACGGCCCCAGAGGCATCCAAGACGGCCCAAGAGGGGCCCAAGAGGGCCCCAAGCGATGCCCCAAAGGGGGAACACAAAACAAAACTTCGAGCCCTCGGCCTTAAGAAGCCCCCAGGAGGCCTCAAGAGGCCCCTGAGAGGCCCCAAAAGCCCCCAAGAGGCCCTCAGGAGGCCCCCAAGCGACGCTGAAGAGGCCCCCCAGCGGCCCCAAGAGGCTCAGTCATGCGAAATGGGCCGGCGGAGTGAGCGAAGCGATTCAATTAAACATACACCAGAAATACACCAAAGAGGTAAAATTATCCTGGCGAAGGACCCAACCATATGCAGTTGTGAGTATCGCAATTGTGAGTATCTTCTTCGGTGGCGCTCCCTATGGGGCCACGAACCGCATGAGGGGTGTGCCGAAATGTGGCGGGGTACACAACGCAAAGGAATACGATAGATCTGATTACGAGAGAAAGAACGCGGGTGAGTCAGAGCGCGAGGGAATCTGAGTATGAATGGGTCTGCGCGCGAGTGAATATATTTGCATGAATGCGATCATGGAACCGCCTAGTGTAAGTGTCGAGCATGCCTGTCCGAACACACGTGACACTGGGCGTGGCCGCCGCAGGCAGCTTCCGCGGGAACCCCGACGGCAGCGTCCGCACGTCGCGACGCCCATGTCGGCACGCCTCTTGCGAGGATCGCGCCCGCTTTCGGCTCTTCTTTTCCTTCCTCTTTGCCCGCGCACTCCAAAATCCAAGGCTGCGGGCGCAGCGCAGCGCGGAGTCCCCGCGACGCGCGCTGGTCGCCCCGGGCGGGGTCCCAGCGACGCGCGCGGGTCGTCCGCTGCGCGAAGCAGAGAGAGCTGACTAGCTAACTGGCTGGCTGATAGCGGGCAAGTCTCTGACCGCTGGGCAGAGCGACGACGGGCGAACGAGGCGCCGGGCCCCCCGCAGCACGGAGTTCCCGCGACGCGCGCTGGTCGCCCCGAGAGGGTCCCAGCGACGCGCGCGGGTCGTCCGCGGCGCGAGGCCAAACAATTAGTCGGGCAGTCGAGAGAAGGCGCGGCTCGGGGGAGACGCTCCTCAGGTCAGGCCTCGCGGATGAACTCGGTGAAGCCGAGCTCCCTGGCGAGGGCCGTCGCTTCCCTCCTGCACCGCTTCGTGCGCGCCGCAAACTGCTCCAGCTGCTTCCGCAAGCCCTGCGGCGGCCCTGCCAGGAAGAACTCGATGCGCGGCGCCCGCATGAGCAGGAGGTCCTCGTGGCGCGTGGCGCGCGAGAGCAGCACGTAGAGCTCCAGCCACCAGTCGTCGTCCTCCTTCTTGCCGTTCCCTACCTCGTGGCGGCCGCAATCCAGGATCACGCCTGGGCGACGTCGACCGAGGGAGCAGCGCGCCGGGCAGCCGACGGCCCAGGGCGAGAGTCCACAGGACCGAGAGATGGTCTGGCCGCGGACTGCTCGCGCCCCGGAGGTCTGGCCGCCCCCGGAGCGCCGTTCCCCCGCCCCGTCGCCTTCGCGCATGGTGCGCCCCTGGCACGCCACCGTGGTGATGACCCTGCCGTGCGAGAAATGCGGGGGGTGTGCCGAAATGGGTGGGGGTGACGCATGCGGGCGGCGGCACTGAGGCCTTCGGTGGAGCTCCCTATGGAGCCACGAAACGTGTGAGGGGTGTGCCGAAATGGGTGTGGGACGCATGCGGCCGCGGGCACTGGGGCCTTCGGTGGAGCTCCCTATGCCACGAAACGTGCCGCGGGCACTGGGGCCTTCGGTGGAGCTCCCTATGGAGCCACGAAGTGTGAGGGGTGTGCCGAAATGGGTGTGGGTGACGCATGCGGGCGCGGGCACTGGGGCCTTCGGTGGAGCTCCCTATGGAGCCACGAAACGTGTGAGGGGTGTGCCGAAATGGGTGTGGGTGACGCATGCGGCCGCGGGCACTGGGGCCTTCGGTGGAGCTCCCTATGGAGCCACGAAACGTGTGAGGGGTGTGCCGAAATGGGTGTGGGGGACGCATGCGGCCGCGGGCACTGGGGCCTTCGGTGGAGCTCCCTATGGAGCCACGAAACGTGTGAGGGGTGTGCCGAAATGGGTGTGGGGGACGCATGCGGCCGCGGGCACTGGGGCCTTCGGTGGAGCTCCCTATGGAGCCACGAAACGTGTGAGGGGTGTGCCGAAATGGGTGTGGGGGACGCATGCGGCCGCGGGCACTGGGGCCTTCGGTGGAGCTCCCTATGGAGCCACGAAACGTGTGAGGGGTGTGCCGAAATGGGTGTGGGGGACGCATGCGGCCGCGGGCACTGGGGCCTTCGGTGGAGCTCCCTATGGAGCCACGAAACGTGTGAAGGGGTGTGCCGAAATGGGTGTGGGTGACGCATGCGGCCGCGGCCACTGGGGCCTTCGGTGGAGCTCCCTATGGAGCCACGAAACGTGTGAGCGGTGTACCGAACTGGGTGTGGGTGACGCATGCGGCCGCGGGCACTGGGGCCTTCGGTGGAGCTCCCTATGGAGCCACGAAACGTGTGAGGGGTGTGCCGAAATGGGTGTGGGTGACGCATGCGGCCGCGGGCACTGGGGCCTTCGGTGGAGCTCCCTATGGAGCCACGAAACGTGTGAGGGGTGTGCCGAAATGGGTGTGGGTGACGCATGCGGGCGCGGGCACTGGGGCCTTCGGTGGAGCTCCCTATGGAGCCACGAAACGTGTGAGGGGTGTGCCGAAATGGGCGTGGGGGACGCATGCGGCCGCGGGGAGGCAGCGGGAGGAAGGAAGGAGGGAGAACGCGGGGCACCGTCTCTTCAAAACGAGGACCCAACACCACAGGATGGTTGGGAACAAAATTATGTTACCGAGGAACCCCGCATACTTATATTATGGCTGGAGTGGTGATAGATGGTGATAGCTGGAGTGAAGCATGTGAGAATGACGTTGGTGGCCGTTGCCCCGCCGATACCGTCGGTGACGCCACTCAAGAGGAGAGGTGGAAGAGGAGAAGCGCCGCGCCAGCCACACTTTGCGAGCCCGAAACAGATAGCGACCGCACTCCCAAGGCACCCCCTTGTGGCGTCGAGAAAGTGCCACGCCTGCTATGCCCTGGACGACTCTCGTGCACAGCGGCCGCGCTCAGGGACCACCCCCTGCGCACCCCTTGTGGCGTCGAGAAAGTGCCACGCCTGCTGTGTCTGGACGACCGTCGTGCGTAGCGGCCGAGCTCAGTGACCACCCCCTGCGCACCCCCTGTGGTGTCGAGAAAGTGCCACGCCTGCTGTGCCTGGACGACC